TTTGTGATCGTCTTTGTTTAGTTTCTTTGTATTTTTTGGTGTACATATAGTTGTGGTGGGATGATCACTTCATGTTGTGGTCTCCCCTCCTGTGGCAGAGACCCTATCATTTTATGTGTTTCTCTTGATGTAACTATGTTACTCTGGTTCAATATCTGGTTCAATATAATCGTTCTTAGATGCCAAAAAAAAAAAGATAAAATAATACATAAAAATATTGATCATGCTCGTGTTTCTCGTGGCTATCTTCAAAGAGTTTGTGCTCCAAGTGGAGGCCTACGAAGACAAGTGGAAGCTTCAAGCTTCCATGCATGCACCTCCAAATTCTTTAGTTCTCAAAGTCAAACCAACAAGTGTTTCGATTATTGATAACAAATCGATCGAGCTAGCCCAATTTCAAAATCATCGTTTTTTAACAACCGGAGATTTCAGACTCAAGTGTTGAAACTAATTTCCTAGGCATATGGATGAAAGAGTCGATTTTTTCCTTTTTCGTATATTTAATAAGTTATAATGGCCAAATTCAAAACGTTTATTTATTTTTTCACTGTGTTTTAGTCATGATTACATACTAAAAAAATTATAATTTACAAAACAAAAATAATTGAGATGATAAATAGTAAATAAAAATATTCATCATGCTTTCGCTTGGACATCTTCAAGTGGTTCGTGCTTCAAGTGGAGGCCTAAGAGAGACAAGTGGGAAGCTTCAAGCTTGCATGCATGCAACTGCAACTCCATATTCTTTAATTCTAAAAGCTAAACAAGTGTTATGATCTCTTGATAACAATCGATCGAGCTAGCCTGATTTCAATGTCATCTTTTCTTATAACCGGAGATTTCAAACCAGGTACAAAGCTAATTTTCTAGGCATATGAATGAAAAAGTTGATTTTTTTTTTTTCATTTAATAAGTTAGAATTCAAAATGTTTATTTTTTCACTGCGTTTTTAGTCATGATTACATACTACAATCATCTTTATATGATAAAAATACACAATTATTCTTTTGTTTTATTTTTATTAAAAAGTACACAATTATCCCATACACTTTTATCATGGGTTTCTCGCCGACACCTTCGTTGCATAAAAAATTCTAAACATTCACAAAATAATTGCTCTCGATATAAAATTTTCGAAATAGCTAATCCATTGATGGACAATATATAGAGCCAAGAATAGCTAATAATGTGGGGATCTACGGATGATATAGTGAAAATGATTTTCCGTTTATTTTGTCACAACTATTGAGATCCAAAAACAATAATTTAGTAAGTTCCAAATTTTGAGACTCAACACATGTGCTTAAGTTCTAGATTATATGATGTCCTTGGGTCTAGGAACTAGAAGCACCACAAAATCATAAAAGAAAAGTTTAAATGATTTTTAGTTCCTCAATAATTGGAACCAAAGAGATAGGATCGGCTTTTGATCCTATCTTCTTGTTTAAATAATTAAGCCCAATCAAACAATTATTGATTGAAATAACTATAGCTTTCAATCATACTATTATCGTATTTTAGACGT